GGACTACATATTTTCTCTTAATAGGCCCTATAATTAGACAAAATATCAATGTTGAAGTGGGTGGGGGGTTGGACCCAACTGATTATCAATGCAGCCAGCTTTGGATCCAACTCTACTGTCGAAAGAATTGCTGACAGTTATTGGTAACTCAAAATGTTCTTACAACATTTGGTTTTGTACATGATGCCGTTCATTCACGAGGAAATATATGCATTTATACACCCTTTTCCTGTCCTTTTCGATAAGTACAATGTTTGTACACAAAAACATAAATATTTCAGAAGAAAGATGCTAAATCTTGCAGTCTTGTATCAATGAATTTGTAACTTTTTTTTTTTCCCTCGTGATAGGTTTGTGTTTGTCGATAATAGAATGTTGACTTCGATGGAGTTGATAATATGTAGAGATTCTCGAAGAACATCACTAGCACTGATGAGAAGAGGCAATAATTTTTTTTGTGATATAAAAGAACAAAAGAAAGCGCCCGAATGTACTTGTTGGCATATGAAAACATATTGTACAACGTTTTGTAGAGTTTTTTATAATAGCCGATAAGTACAATGTTTGTACACAAAAACATAAATATTTCAGAAGAAAGATGCTAAATCTTGCAGTCTTGTATCAATGAATTTGAAACTTTTTTTTTTCCCTCGAGATAGCTTTGTGTTTGTCGATAATAGAATGTTGACTTCGATGGAGTTGATAATATGTAGAGATTCTCGAAGAACATCACTAGCACTGATGAGAAGAGGCAATAATTTTTTCTGTGATATAAAAGAACAAAAGAAAGCGCCCGAATGTACTTGTTGGCATATGAAAACATATTGTACAACGTTTTGTAGAGTTTTTTTATAATAGCGCCGTTTCATGAATTGAAATACAATTGACTTCTTGAAATTATCCTTGTCTATGAGTGATAATAAAGTAGTAAAATTCTATGTTTGATCGTTAACAAATTTTATCTTTTCTACTTAAAAAGGAGAAAAATATTAAAAAACATTCACAATCATTCTTTTTAGTCTCTCATACATCCGTAAGAAGTCATTAATTCATTACCTTAATCTTAAGAGAACAAAAAATCAGTATTAACATCAAAATAATTTACTTTAAAGCAGTTAAACCAGAGTATATTTAACCCTGGCTAAAACGTGTTATTTTTCGACTTCTCGTGAAGGTCGGTATGCTCAGAATACTTATAAATCATTTCAAACATATTTTGAAAATTTCTTCACTCGAATTTTCATCTAAATAAATTTCTCCCTTTTCATGGATACAAAATTCTACTAAAATTACCGACGGTAAATTCGCGTGTTCTTCTTTCATTACAGCCACAAAACAGGTGTCTGTCTTGCGACCTAACCAACTGTTTAGTCAAATCTTTGCGCCATTCATGTCTTCTCTCTCTATAACTATTGCGTATTTGCATCCAAATGTTCATACGTCTCTGTCTGGACTTTGTACTCTGACCCTAAATAGACTCTATACGCGTGTGCGTGAGAGCAAGGAGGGGTCTGTGGGAGTGGGATAATAGGATCCAACATGAATTTTTTTCATTTTTGATTCGAAATTTTGAAAATTAGCCTGGAATGGTGGTGGGGATACTGATGTGGTGCTGCAAAGAAAAATAGAAAACCTCCAACAATTTTCTTCACTCTGAAGCTTTTTCTTCCCACCTTTCCACACACGGGTGGCACAGATACTATTCTTCTCTCTCTCCTGAAACCCCTCTCTCTCATACGCACGCCTTTTTTTTTCACTTTACAACCTTTCTTTACTTTTATATCTCTGTGTTGCAGTCTTTAATGGCTGCCCCACAACTAATTTTCGTCCATTTTAACAAGTGGCTTTTGGTTTTCATCCTTGAGGGTCTTTCTTTTTGGTCGGTATGGAATTAGATACTCTCTCATCCAAACAGTAAAGCTCCAGTTTTTACCCTTTTGTGTGTTGAGTGTCTGTCAATACCTGATTGAATTTCTTGAGTTTTTATTGGAAAGAAAGGTCAATTTTTTACAAATATTTTGTGGATATCTCTGGAATTTTTCGTTTCTTTGGTCAGAAGTTGATGAAGAATCATTACAGTGAAAAACTTGATTTTTTCATCAAAATAATAAATATGAATTGAATTTTAAGCTTGATTGTGTGAAGAGTTTTGTGAAGTGATCTTATTGTCCTTGAATGCAAGATTGGATGACTTTCAGGATTTTGATCAAGTCTTCTAAGGAAGTAAGGGGCCCAAGATTATAGATTTTGGCATTTTTTATGTTGAGTGGAAATTCTGATAATTGGTTTCTTTGGGGGGAAGATCAATTTGGGATTGCCAAAAGCACTTTTCAGAAAAAAGTGAAGAAGCCAAAAACTTGATTCTTTGCCAGACACGGAAGGCAAAAGTTCCTTGAGCTTTACTGTATTAGATAACTTGTGTAATCTGTGTTTCTTGAAGTATGTGTGCCTACATGGTTGATCAAATTTCAGGTAATTCTGTTTTGCATTCTGTTTCCATTTAAAACTTGGTCAATATTAAAGTAAAATGTGATTTCTAAGTTTATCTTTACTTGAATCATTCATTTCTTTCACATGTTTTTTACTGAGCTTTTGATATCTTCCTGTCATTTATAAAACTTCTATTGCTTTGGATATTCGAGTAGAGTTAGCAATGAACTGAATGCAGTCACGAATAAGATAGGTGTAACCGACTATGAATTTGTTGGGAAATTTTTGTTGTTGTATCTACTGAATTTTTGCAGTACTGTAGAATATCTTCTCTCTTTCTTCCTTTATATGTTTTTCTCTCCAGTCCAGAATTTTCATAATCAAATTGACTAAAAATTACTGCATGCAAGAGAAGAAATTTTTATGTGATTGCTGTGAGCAACGGCATTGCAAATTTATGGTGATTCTAGAAATAGTTTTTATGGGTGATCGAGCATTTAGAGAACAGTTTCTTACCATAAGAGATCGGGAAAGGATGTACTGGGTCTCATCTGGTTTGTATAAATCAGAATATCCGATTCCAGGTATATATCTTTGTTGGGAATATAGTTTTTCTCAAATGAATCGTTATCATCAGATAAGATGCCTAAGAATTCTAATGTACGTTGACAATGTAAATTCACTTGCAATATATTTTCATGTTTAATTCTTCATGATTATCAAAGAAAAAATTCCTAAAGTATTTCTTTTCATATTTAGATCTAATTGTAGGAAGTTTTGGCTTGCTTACACCTTTATGAATGAGCTAATATTTTAACACACCAGAAACAATGTGTGCTCGTAATGGTGAATATTGACTTGGTACATCGAGCCTTTCAATTAAAAATCGGTAATTTTCTGTTTCATTCTTTGTTTCTGTTGCTTAGATTTGCTGTAAAGAGGAAGGAAAATTAGCTGAAGTTGAAAGATTGGAGGCCCTAAAATCACTCGTTATGGCGAAGAGATCACAGAGACGCCTGTCACGGCATGAAAGGGAGCAAGCAGGTTGTATATGGAGCTTTATTAGCATATTGGACTTCCGCCATGGTCGATCCACCCGAAAATTGATTGCCAATAAAAGGCGAGCGAGCAGACAAGCCGTTGGTACGAACTCTATCTGGAAGTAACATTAGGATTGTTGAACACCTTATCTAAGGACTTAAGTTGCTAGATGGACTACAAATTAATTTATTTAAATTTTGTCCTGAACATGCCCATGTAGGGTGAATTCAACTTTTTTTAATCAAATATCTGACATTTGCACAATTATTATAATCGAGTGGGTGATACTTTAACCTCATACCTTTGCTTCCTTTGAGACAATCTAACTTCGTATACAAGCCAACAAAAATACTTGGTTCAAGTCATATCACCACCTGTTTATAAAAGTTGTGTGCACATGAGGCTTTTGATTAAAAATCATCGGATTTGCATGTGAAGGCAAGTTGAAGACAGAATTTAAGTAAGCAAAATTGTCCCATCTCTAACTACTTAAACTTTTATTGAGCTTGTTGAACAATAAGAATTAATATTGCCACTTACAGAGTCCCTTTTTTCGAATTCAAGATATTTGATATTGCTGCTTCCTATTTGCTCTAGCCAAATCATTCTTCTTCTTCCCTTGTTCTCTTCTGTAGGTGCCGGAAATTCAATTACGAGTCCAACTGGAACGTGTCAAAATGCGGTAAGTGTACGCATCTTTTCCTCGATGACCTATGATTTGTCTGCTAGTTAGATTAACTTAATATGGAATCTCAGGATGGTGAAGAAAGTAAGGTGGCAGTGGCTCATGTTGCTAGGATAAGTGTGAAGGAACTCATGCAAGAAGAGATGTTCACTGAGCAAGGCTTGAAGAACGAGGCAAATGGGTCTGAAATATGTTTGAATCAAATTGATTCAGAACATGGACCTGTAAAAAAGAGTCACAAGCGAATAGACAGAACTCGCAAGAAATCTAGTGATATGGATCTCCCCAAGTCGGATGCTGCGGAAACTTTGGTGTACAACAAAGTTCCCGAGCAAAAATCTTCAGATACTCCTGAATGGGAAATAATGGAAGAAATATCCCAAATTTACCAGAAATTTTCAAGCTTCATGAAGCGGGACTCTCACGATGATCTTGACATGCCATCTGATCAGAATTTCTCACTTGAAGAAAAATTGGTTGAGGCAATAAAGGTATTTAGTGATCAAAGGTTGAGTAGCAGTAAGCATTTTGGTGAAGAGGTGAGAACCCATTTTTCGAAAGAGTTCATGGATGCTTTGCAAACTTTAAGTTCAAATGAGGACTTGTTCTTGAAACTACTACAAGATCCTAACTCCATACTGGTGAAGCACATGCAAAACTTGGATGATACTCAATTAGAGAAAGACCAGAAACCCAGTTCTTTGATCGGACCTGGTTTGTCTAAGGAGAAGCTAAACCACTCGAAACCTGATGATCTTTTAGATCGTAAACACCGTAAATTCTTCCACAGAAAGAGCAAATCTCTTGAAAGCTGCCCCACAGGAGGAAACAAAAACTGCCAATCTTCCAGTAAAATTGTCATCTTGAAGCCTGGACTAGCAGGGTCAGAGAGTCCCCCTGCTGATATCAGAATCAGTACGTCTTTGCTGTCGCCTGACGCCGTTAAAAATAAGGTGCAGAATGAGAGAAATACATCCCAGTTCTCTTTTACCGAAATTAAAAGAAAGCTGAGGCATGCAATGGGAAAAGAGAAGCCAGGGATTGTTCCTGATAGATTGGTCCATAAATTTCCTTCTAAGCACCAAAATGGGAACGATACTGACAAAAATGCTAGTGGAGAAATTGTGGGCTGGAGTTCTCCAAACAGGGACCATTTCTATACTGAAAGATTTGCCAAATCCCCAACTGGCTTTAAGAGCAGTGAACAATTGGGAAAATCAAAAGTTAATGGTGCAGAAATGGCAAACGAAACCTTTAATTATCCAAGGAAAGGGGTGTCTAATATCTATATCGAGGCTAAGAAACATCTTTCTGAGATGTTGAAGAATGGGGATGAAAATGCAGAGGCAGGGAGCCACCGTTTACCAAAGTCCCTGGGCAGGATTCTTTCTTTTGCTGAGTACAGCGATTCTCCAAGCTGCAGTCCTAGGAAATGTGGTGATGATATATTCATAACTGCCCAGACGAGGTTATCTCCTCGAGGAATGACTAACAACATGAACGGGCTTGTGCAAGAAAACCATGAAAATCATCCGAATTCATCTGGGCCAAACTTAGAGAGTCATCTTCCCATAGGTGGTGACAATGCCAATGAGAAAATACAATCTCATAATAGAGAGATAAATATTCCAAGCAAAGATGATCATGGTTATTCTGCAGAAACTCAGTCTTTTACCCATGATGTCATAATTCTTAAAGGTATTCTGTTTATATGTTCTTTCTACATAATTCATAAGGCATCTTACTTTAAATTCTGACGACTGTAAGTTATACCATGGTAACAGCTCCGAATTCGTCTTCAAGAGTTGTGGAGATTGAAGAAACAACTGGATCAAGTACTGAGGAAGGGGGAAAACATATTACTATTTCTAGAGATATGGCTAGTGATCTAATAACTAGAGATGTGCAGGATAGTGATATTGAAGAAATGACCGTTGAAGAAAGTCCTCTCCAGTGCCTTAAAACGGTAAACTATGGTTTCTATGCATTGAGAATCTTAAGCTAATAATATCAAGAAACACAAAGCCGCCCTCCATCTATGTTGGGTGGTATACCACAACTTGTTTTTCTTTACTTTTTATTTATTTATTTATTTTCCATAAGCATTTCCTTTGCACATTTCATATTTGTATTCTTTTCCAGGCTCCATTTGGAGATGATCAAGCATTGTCTCCATCAATGTCGCCACCGCTCTCTCCAATAAACAGGAAAGTTAAAGAACATGATGATTGTGAAATTGATAAAATGGAACGGCCCAGTCCCATATCTGTTCTTGAGCCATTATTCACAGAAGATGTTATCAGTCCTCCAAGTACGACATCTCAGTCAGGTTAAATTGTTTATATAGAATTCAATAGCCTTAAATTGAACAGCTTTTCTTTGTGCTTTATATTGTGCTGAAATGCGTCTGTTTGTGGTATTTAGCCAATGAAGAAATTCAACCTCGACAAATCCATTTCGAAGAACAATCTTCTGCTAGTGACCTGGGAATTTGTACAAGAATTTCTATTGAGGGTGAGGAAACTGCATTTGAATATGTGGAAGCAGTCTTGCTGGGTTCAGGTTTGAACTGGGACGATTTTCTTTTGAGGTGGCTTTCTTTGAGCGAAATTCTCGACCCATCACTTTTTGATGAAGTCGAGTTGTTTTCTAGTCGATCTCGTCTTGATCAGAAAATCCTCTTTGATTGTACTAATCAAGTTCTAAAAGACATCTGTGAGACTTATTTTGGATGCTTCACTAGAATGTTATTTGTTAAACAGAAAACTCGCCCAATCCCAATTGGTATGAATCTTATTGACGAGGTATGGGAAAAGGTTGAATTACATCTCTTTCAGCATCCATCATTAGAGTCTCTGGATCAACTTATCAAGAAGGACATGGCAAAACATGAAAAATGGATGTACCTAGGACCAGATATCGAGCATATTGGTACTGAATTAGGAGAGAGAATTTTCAGTGACTTGGTCGAGGACACTGTGATGAGTTTTGCTACTAATGAGTTCACTGTGCTTCCAGTTGAATACGAGGCAATCAAAGATATTATTGACTTATAAACTCGATCATCTGTCTCACAAAAGTTTTATGGTTCTCATATGTTTTTTCACATATGACATGTTTGGTAAGGTGGAGTAATAGTATTGAAAGAAATTAAAATCTTATTTATTGCCTATCAGTGCAATCTATTACTGCATGCCAAACATTCTCTTGGAGCTTTGGCTAAAGAATCAAATGATATACTGACACACTCCAATAAAGTCTTGTGGTCATAGTTTGGATTTCTAAGTACAGATGACTCTAGTGTGTGAAGGTTATAGCAGAAGTTACAATATAAATAATCATTGCCAAAAATGTAGCCATCTGTAATGGGCTCTTCAGAAGAAGACAGATTATCAGTTTCTGCATCACTCTATCTAACCAGAAAAGGGCAGGGACGAGCTTCTCAGTGTAGAATTTTCAGGGTTTGGTGTGTTTGATGTGTGTTGTATTCGTATCTTTGGTGAATTTCTTTTGTTTGCGAATCTTGTTTTATCATAGGTTTGGTTTGTAATTACAATAGTCAAGAATTTTCACTAGGGATGATAACTGAAACACTATACAGAAGAATGCAGAATAAAATCTTTTCAGGGTGTTGTCTATAAAGATTCTCTGTCATTACTTCAATCTTATACTCTGTTCTTCACAGTACTTTTGTGCAAAGTTCTGTATTATGATTTCTCTACATATCACGTTCCTTGTATAGTTTAGTCAAGCCTACCGAACATTCCGTGATATACATAAGCTAGTTCTACTGCATCAGGGAAACAAAACGAATGAAGAAAATTTTCATTTCATAGTCTTGTAACTGTTTACAACATTTGTCCTCTATGCAAAATAGGGCAAAGATTTTGGAGTTCTATAATAAATAAAATTTCAGCCAAAATCATCTACGATCAATAGAGTAATAAAAATTGCAAAGTTCTTGGTTGTCAAATTGCTTAATGGACTGAATGCTATAAATTTATAGCATTATCCATAGTTTCTTGGCACTTTACCTTAAAACTGCTAGATCATTCGACTGCTCTATGTAGGCCATAGTGAGACAACATTTTAACTACGGGTGGGTGCATATAGCAGTCCTAACTATTTATGCTTCTTTTTCTGCTGTAGAGGTGAAGTCATATTTAGTTGTCTCTTCTTTGCAAAAGCTTTTGTTTTACTTTCCAATTCGTCTTCACTATCTTCATCAACATTTCTATCTTTTGAAGATGGAGCAAATTCTTCAGCTCTCTTCACCGCTTTCCGTTTCTCAGCATCCAACTTGGCAAGCAATTTTCTTTCTACTGGATCACTTGAATTTGCAACTCTGGGCCCCCGTGGAACTGTTGCACCAATTCCAAGCCTACAAAAGTCTCTAAGAAAATAAACATGTGCTTATCATTATACAGGGGAAACTCAATGTAGCAAATGTACTGACCTAGCAGGTCGACCCTCCAATTCTATTGCAGTTGATTTTCCATCCACCGAGGATTTACTCATGTTATTAACCCATTGTTCAGCCTGTGCCAAGTGATAGACAAGAAACGGCATTCTAATATTTACTACTCAGATCATACGAAATAAAATTGTGATGCCAAGCACATTTCCCATATAATGATGAGCCATCTTCATGAAAAATAAATTTACTTTCAAGAACACGAAGGAATCAGCATGATAATACAAATCTAAACCATGTAAACAAATTACAAAAATTAAGAGCTTGTTACCAGTTTGAATGCTTTGCCCAACTTCACTAATTGGGGTTGTGAATTTTTCTTTGAAGCCTCTTCTGTACTCATTGCTAGTTCTTCACCACCGGATAAGCAAAGTAAGTTGTATCAGAAATTATCATACAAAACCTTAAAATCAATCATGTGCTAGAACATAAAATAAGAACGCCACGCCTTAGTTTGGTTAGAGCAGGCCAAGGGTAAAATATGATTCCTTATATTTCAGAACATGCTTCAGCTATATTTACAGAACATAGGGCGGTTACATTAGCTATAAAACGAATATTACAAACTTCAACAAATCAAAGAAGCATAAAAAGAAAAGTGAAACCATACACAAAGTAGCAAAACTATTATAAACATGTATCATTTCTACATACTGATAGCTATTCAAACAGGCCAACAGAGACAAAAAAATCAAAGTGAAAAACTGCTCAATATAGCAAGAAAGACAAAAGGAGAGTGGGAACTAAAAACACTATGCATTGAAGAGCAAAGAATGCGAGCATCCAATGCTAAAGATTGTTAGTTCGATAAATATTAACACAAATTCAATTGGAAAAAGCTAAGGCTTCCAGGGAAAGAGCTAGAGGTAGATTTTAGCGTGGGACAAAATTAAGAAAAAGTCAATTCCATAATGTAATCAAGCACAAGAACACGTCCTCAATTAGTGGAAAATGACTTGATGCGATAATGGCGTAAAGACTAATCACCTAATCATGAGCAAATGCCAAGTTTCTAGTTTACACATGCAAAATGCTAAAAGTAGCACTTGAACTAAAACGTAATTAGTTAATTATAAGGGTATTTTTTATGAGGGAAAGACATTCATAAAGGACAAAACATAACACAATTCAACCTAGGTATACAAATTTGCAATTATAACTGATTTAAACAGGACTTGATCATTTTGAGCTTAAATAGTTCAAAACTGTAGTTCATCTCCTCAGTAATTCTTGCTAATCTCTTTGCCATAGGCAATTAAACTCCACAACTTATTTTACCTCTCCTCAAAACATAAATTGCTATCATTTTCTCAAAATGTATGAGGCAAGTATCTTGCAGTATTTTCTTAATCATCCCACTGATAGACCCCAATATGGTTCACATATGCAAACATAGTTGCAGCCACGTCATATGTTATTCCAGAAGGTTCGCTAGTCAGTTAAATAGAGGTTCAAAAGTGTAATAAGTCAATTAGATAGAGGTTCAAAAGTGTAATAAGTCAATTGCTTACAATAAGGAATTGCTTACGAATGTGATGGGGGAGGGGATTAGAAATTCATTAAGAGAATTGTTTAGAAAAGTGGGGAGAGATCAAGGCCTCTTGAATGCCTTGGAAATTGTTCCCTTAATTCTGTGTTCAGTTCTTCATTTCATAAATAATTGTTCTGCATTTTGCAATTCAATACAAAGATCTAATTTACAAATCACAGCTCTAGTACAAGCATACAAATCATCAGGCAAAGCCTATTACATATTTCATTCTATCAGAAATTGAATTCTGATCTCAGTTGTTTGATCAAATCCTTGCATCATCAGCTTAAAATTTCCAACAGCAACCTTCAGCGACAGCATGATCCATATCCGCTTTTGGCAGTAACAATCAAAGATCTTATCACCCACATACCTACCTTCCTACCTGAACTCCGAACATTTTTATTCCTCTCCTTAATTATAAACTTCAAACCCAGATCTGAAGCTTGCTCAATTATCAATATAATTCAACAACTTTGCACTTTAACTAAAATATCCGTCAATAAAAAATCTTGGAACTTATTCCAGAAAACTTGACTACCTGAAACAGAACAAGAATGGGAATTGGAACTAACTGAAATTTCTCCTATGATAGCACTGGATTCTGCCATAACACTGAAATCACAGCCTAGGATCTCAAATAGTAAATATATCAAACAGCTTCTTTGCAATACATAATCTTTGTAACTATCACAACATATACCTCCAAATATACATTATATTTCATGTATAAACACACATACTACATTATGGCCCCGTTTGAGCCGCATTCTTTCAAAAAAATACATTTTTAAACAATGATTTGACATCATTTTAACCACGTTGTTCAATAAAATAATATTACACGTCAATTCAAAACTTTTCCTCATTTTTTAACCACACGTTCTCCATTAATCTACTATTTCAAAATACATTCTTTCAAAAATAATGTGGCTCAAACACAAACTATATTAGACATGTATACATAGACGTATACCAATTTGGATAGACATGTACCGTAGAATAGTTATGTTCTCTCTGAATAAAGAAGTTCTGGGATAAGTTGCTGTCCTGAGGGTAAAAATTGTCTTTATATTTCAGAGCATGCTCCAGCTAAATTTGCAAAACAAATATAGCCACAGGCTTTAAAAGTAATCTTACAATATTCAACAAACTAAAGAAACATAAAAGGAAGAGTGGAAATCATGCACAAATTAGCAAAACTATTGTAATCACACATCCTTTTACAAATTGTTTGGTGTTCAGACAAACCCAAAAATTAAGATTTCGAAGCGAGAATTTTCTTAAATTTGCACGTGAAACAAAATAAGAATGCCAGATTGAGAATTTGAAATTTTGTTTTGAAGAATTTCATTTGGATTACAACCTGAAATAAGCACCATTTTTTTATTTTTTTTACAGATAGCAGAGAATAATACGGGATTTCTTGTCTAAGTATCTAATAGTCCTACCAGTTTGATCCAATAATTTGGTATTCATCCATATAATTCCATTGTAACTCTAATTAGTAATTACTCACATCCAGAATCCGATGAGTCGTACGGGTGAAGTTTGGAGTCTCCGTCGCCACGCTGAATTAAGGAATCATTCCGGTCACGGTGGTAGTTTTGGTGCGAGTATGCGAGAGGGAGAGACAATCGAGAGAGAGGGTAATTGGGTTTAACATGGGTTTTGGGCCGTTTTCATTGGGCTTTGCCACTTTGGACCGTTAGATGGGCTTAAATTCGGGTGGCTGTTTTCTGGGCTGGCTTACTCTGGGCTTTAGTGAAAGGGTACGTCCCCATGAATTACTTTGATAATACTTTGTTAAATTTTTATTAAGTGGAAATTACACTGTAGTTAGTTTTTAACAATGTTTTAAAAGACGTAAAGTGTGACGATATGTGAAGGCCAAATTGTGGGCTAGACGAGCTTAGGTGAGGTATAAGCGTAAAAATGCATTTTCTTATATTAATATTATTTGAATTTTTAAATCAATTAAAAAATCGTTTATTAATTGAAAGTAATATCTGTCAAACATCTAAAACAAATTTATAAGAAATTTATACATTTTCCTGAAATTTTCAACAAAAAGATAAATTCCAATTGTAAATATTAAATAGTAAATAAATAATAATTTTTTGGAGATTTCCTCTATTCAAGGCTTTAAGCGACTATTTCGAATTTAGAACCGATGAAGCGAATAAATCAATATTTAAGTTTTAATTTAGAAAAATTGTTAAAAAATTAAAAAAAGAAAAAGATAATTATGCGCGCCTAACTGTCAATAGCAATTTGTTGACAACTAAATAAAGTGTCAAGTCACTTTGCTTGGTGTTTTCGTCATGCATCCCGTATTGGAGACGCCTAGGCGCCGCTAATGCACGCCTTTTAGAACAGTGATTTTTAAAGATTACAATTCTAAAATCAAGTTTAAGGTTTACTTATCCATAAATCAGGCATTTAAAATTTTAAAACTTAAATATTTAATATTTAGATTAATTTAAATATCCACATCATCCCCGCGAAATTCTATCCACTCCATTAGATTTTACTCCAAACCTTAATCATTTTTCCTCTCTCTCTTCTTCTCACTTTTCCCATTACTCTCTCGTCTTCCTCCTTCCTTACACAATTGACCAATTGTCGAAAGACGGCAACACTCACAGAGAAGCTATCATCGTGACCGCAGAGAATTCATGCAAACTGGCGATCCCTTTTCTGTGATAGCAACGCTCACAAAGAAGTTGTCGCATACAGCAACAATGATGTCGTTGCTTATGGCTTTGCACATCATTGGCGGTCTAACCGTGTATTAACATCATCGCCAAGCTCTGCGAAACGGGTGCTATGTAGAGAAGCTGATGTGTGCAATGGCGATAATGCCATCGTTGTCATTGCTATGCAGATAAAGTGTTTGGGGATATTCTTGGGTAGTTTTCTTCCTTTGATTTGTTGCTTAGTTAGAGTTTTGGGTATTGTTCGTGGTGATTTTGCAACGTTTGTGGTAGGTTTTTAGGTGTTTTGTGGTGATGGCAGTACTAGCGCTGGTCACATGTTTATAAAGCGCATGCCAAATGTTGATTGATATTTGGTGGTGGTTTTGGTGATAGTGAGAGGTCACGGGTCACATGTACCAAGTCACGTGTCATTGTGCATATGTCACAGAAAAATGTCCACATGTTACATATCAAACAGAATTGATCATAAGTCATGTATATATGTTACAGGTCACACTCCACGAGTTACAGGTCATATTGCATATGTCATAGATCAATAATAACATGTCGTGGATAAAAATTAAACCGGTCAAGGATCATACGTCACATGTTTGTATGAAGTAATAACATGTCGCAAATTCAAGATTACAAGTCACAATTCATATGTTAGTAATCATAGATAATAGTTCACAGGTCATAGGCCATATTGCATAGATAACATATCCATATCCACATGTCACAAATTCAAGAGAACTGATAATAAGCTATTGGATCAATATCATATGTAATAATTTACAAGTCACATGCACATCTAAAATGTTACATGTCAAAGTGTGTAGTTTATAGGTCACAAATCAAGAGAACTAGTCACATGTCATTGATTTCTCCAACTCCAATTCTTTGAATTGCTCACAAATTCGATTAATCAGATTTTCATCGATGCGAATCAAAGTTATTTTGCTCCAGTCACTTCTTTGTAAATTCTCTCTTTGTTCTATTGTCTTATACATAATGCCAACAACTTTCGATTTGTGACCTCAATCGTCCAATGGATTTCAATTAACCAGATTTTGATTATGAGAATCGAAGTTATTTGCTCCAATGAGTTCTCTGTAGAAACTATCTTTGTTCGATCTTTCGATAGCTTCCAATTTGTGAGCTCAATAGTTAATGATTTTCAAACAATCAGATTTCAATGATTGTAATGGAGAATAATTGCTCCCAGGAGCTCTCTATGACTTTTCTATTTTGCTCGATTTTGTTTTGGAAAGTTGCGTTTAGAATGATAACTGAAAACGTTATTTTAATATGTATATTTATTAGAATTTATTTTATATGTAATATTTATTAATTACCACCTTAGTTTTTATTTTTTAAACATTTTCTCTTAAAATTGAATTAGGGTATAATTAAGGTCTGATTCATGTATTGTTTCCTTTGTTTCCTTTTATCAATTTTTTAACTATTCAAAATATAGTTTTAATTATATATTTCGTAGGATCTATGAATTTTATCAACTGAATAATGCGTCGAACTTTCATTTTCATTAATTAAAATTTTCAAAGAAGTTTGTAAAACAACATTGTTGTGTTTGCTATGCACCTATTCGACAATTGCACTCTCTTTTGGTGCATATATTAATTTAACCTTCGTTTGGCAAATTTATGAACAGTTAAGAAAAATAGTAGTGAATTACATCAAATTTGACTTTGACAGAAATTTTTAAACTGAAATATGAACTTTATACAAACTGAGGCTTGAGACCTCCAAGAAATTCATCATCTGTAGGAGGGAGAAGTCCTCAATTGAGCCAAATTCAACGCTAGTTAGTAATTTCTAAAATAGGTTCGAAGAAGAAAATGCTTGATAACATATGGGTCCAAAATATTTCCTTTTATTAAAGTTTTGTGTATAAATTATATATTCAAACTTTAGCTATATCTATTGACTATTTGATCCTTGACCCTTTTTTTTTCTTTTTCGAATCATTGATTTTCAATACGGATAATTGATAATTGAATTAAGGGTCAAAACAGTGTCTTGTAGTCCTAGTACTTTATGTGATTGAATTTTAATCTAAAGTTTTCGTGCGTGGTCAACTTAGCAGTTCAGTTATTAATTGGAAAATCGATTATAGAAATATTCAATTGTGTTTGTTATTGTTAGAGTTAATTTTAACCAAAATGGAATAAATAATCAATATTTTTTTGGGACGATACTCAGTCATCATTACATTTCTTGTTAACGATGTATTCTCTTGTGGGATAAAATCGACAATACTCAATAAAGACCTTTTGGATGAAGCAAATGGTATTTTTTAATGGCCGATAACAGAGTGCAATACACGTGAAAGGTTAGGAACCTTTACTATTATATTTCCCAATTTTTTGAAAAAGAAAAGGAAAAAAAATAAAAATAAAAATTAAACAACACCATTTTGCCATACGATTAGTGAATAGGAACCGACTTCTCTTTTGTCATATGCATAGACTTGAAATTTACAAGTTAGGTTGAGAGGGATGAAAAGATACAGAGTAAGAATCGGTATCCAATGTTGCTAATTGAAATAAAAAAATTCTCGAAGAGTTTCGTGTAGTTTTGTGTCAATTTCTTAGACTGGTGCACATTCTACCAATCACAATATCACATATATCCATCTTGCACTTGCTTTCTCTCACCACGTGCCGTTGACCAAGCTCCAAACTTGAGCCCGTTTGATAGCGATTTTTCACCAAAAAAAAATCAATTTTTGATCGTTATTTTACTATTAAAATTTTATTTTTTTCCACATTTTTGGACGAACCTCTCGACGAGCCGAGCGGGCTTGGCTCGTTGGACGGGACCCCCCTCTCAACTTGAGCTCGTGAGTACAAGAGCTTGTGGGCTGAGCCGAGCTCGTCCAGGAGCAACGAACCGAGCTCAAGCTCGGCTCGTGAAAAATGAGCCACGAGCTCGAGCCCGAGCCCGAGTTGAGCTCGTGGGTTAATGAATCGAGCCGGCTCGACTCGACCCACTGTCATCCCTAATTACAGTTGTTATTTTTTATTTTTTTACTCACAAATGGAACCCTTTTTTATCTAATGGTCAAAAAATCAATGCTCATAATCACTACTGAACAGGTCATTAAACTCTTCAAATACTACTCATTATAAACATGTAAAAGAACTCGAGTTATGATATATGTACAAAGTTAATTGAAAAAGTAATATTTACACCAACCATTTTAAAAACGGGTTTTTTAAATAATTGGAAATCAATTACCTAAATTTTGCCGACACTTATTTTGTCAATCAAATTTGTGAACAACCTTCGTACAAATATCATAATACAAATAATACAGGTGGTTTCCAAATTAATCGCAATATTGCATTCGGGTTTTTTTTTTTTTTTTTGGTTAATTAGACCATTAAAATATTTGTTACAATTTAGTCCATGCATTTTAGTAAAAATAACGGGCTAGTATACCATAACTTCTTCTATAATTCTAAACGAGTGTCCTTGTAATACAACCTCGATTTCTCGAATTTAAGAATTTCAAATCCTCCCCCACCTTCTGAACTTAATTATTTCAAATTTATACCATAAGGATTGGTACCTTCTAAGTGCTTATTTGGTACAGATTTTAAGTCAATTAAAATCAATTTTTTGTCTTTATTTCACTATTTTAATCGTTATTTTTGAATTCTTTTCTCACATGTAGGATCCACTTTATCTCTAACGGTCAAAAAATCAATTATCAAAATCTGTATCAAACAAACACTAAATACGATCCCCATCTGCCTTTCAAATTCATTATCGATGATAGAGGTAAAATAAAATCATAAAATATAGTGTCATCAATGTGAAAAAATAAGGAGTCGGCTTTATATTTAAAATAAGCACAAAATGTATGATTTATTTTTAATGTAAATCCATCTACTTTCGAAA